GGGGGGCTCCTTTGTCCCCCCAAAGATCCAGGATGAGGACGTTTCCACCTACCAGTTAAAGAAATTATTGAAATTAACAAAAATTTAGTCAGAACACCATTGCTAGTGAGAAGGGAAGCTAGTACTACACAGAGCTAAATGGAAGTACAAAGAGCCACTGTGGCCAGTAGACTGTGCGTCACAGCATCTCTTCTCAACACTGAGAATCTACACGCTGGTAGACCACTGCCCACTAGAGCCAGGCACATCAGCAAGGGCTTTTCATGAGATGTGCTTCCACCACACTAGGGATACGCTGATACAGCACACCCATCTACGTACAAGAGAGAGAGACTGATTTTTGGCACCAATGTTTTGTATTCTTGCCCCTAGTCTTCAATATCCAGGGTCCAGGTGTACATTACAGCACCAAACACAGCTGTCAGACTGCCGAAGAGTCTATGAGGTGACGGCCAGAAGCAGTGAGCCTCTGGCTCTCTTCTTAAATTTCAGATTTCAGATAAGCAGACATTTCCACTCTGTGATTTTACAACCAAACCAAGCTTAATGTAGGAGATATTTCTAAATCTACCAAACAACATGAGAGAAGCAAAGAAAGGCACAGAACGCTGGAGCTGCACGTCAACAAACGCCTCGTTACACCAAGAGGGTCTGCTGCTGGAGAACAGGAACTCTTGAGAAAAGAAAAAGTGGCAAGCGGCAAAGGCTCCGCTGCGCTCAGAACTGAGCTGGTGGCTGTGGCTGCTCCTTCAGCCACTCAACAGCTCTGCCCTTGTTTCGTCCTCCCAAATCACCATGGCTTCTCATCATAAGAGGACTAGACTCTATCCTAAAGGAAAAGCATGCTTGTCTGTTCTACGCCTACCCACAGAAAGGGAACGCTTCCACGTTCAGGTATTCTATGTTTACTTCCTAGGCAAATGCCGAAAACTGGATGCTCTGATTGACAAGAAGAGTGACTGCTAGGAGAATGACTCTGAGGAGGCGCTGTGGTCCCAGGCTGATATTCCAACAATGCATGTAGTGTCACCTGCTGTCCGTTTGCTAGCAATAGTGTCCCAGACAACACAGGTCCCAATGAGGGGTTCACTAACCTGTATCCAGAATGCCCATCGAAACACCGAAGACAGACATCATGACAATCAGTAAGGCTGCCGTCCTGCAGAATGGCATAAGATAAAGACCAGCTGTGGTAGCAGAGAGTGACACCCCTGGGAAGAAATAGCAAAAAGTCAGCTAAGACACAGTTCTGCTCCAGAAACAAAGACTTACTCCTCAGCAGTAACGTATTCTCATTTCCACGGTTTTACTACATCAATCGATTTATGTTTGATCTTGCCAATTTATTGAAAATGGCATGCTAACAACTCTGCCCCTCTTTTCCAGGGTCAGGATCGAAGAGGATCAGTCTGTGCTCAACCCTGCCAGGGGCAGCAGGGCAGAAGTGCAGCCTGTATCACTTCCTATCGTCCCCTGTCCCTTCATATTCAAGCCCAAGGCCACAGAGCCTGGCCAGGTTCCAAGAATGCTTTCCGATTGGCACAGCCTCAGAGCCCTCCCCTCCCCAGATAAGCAGGGTTTCATTGTCAACCAGTGCATGTGTCTGGAGTGGAGCCTAAATCACAGTAAAGGTCGGGGTTGCTCGGCGTTGCCAACACCTGAGGACCCTTCAGGTTTCCAGGGGGATCAGGACAGACTCCCTCCAGCTGCCAGCACACTGCCCACCTGAGGTATCAACAGTTTTCCATAGGTAGAGCCGAGTCCTAAGTTTGTTGACAGGAGCAAAGAAGTAAGGAGCAATTGTTTACTTACCTAAAAGTAAAAAATAATTTATAGAGCCAAAAAGAACTCCTCCCATCATAGAGCCACATAAGTACCCTGAGGCGCAGCCCACAAAAATCAGAGACAGGCTGCTGATGTTTTGGTTCACGTTCCTTGCCAAGTCTGGAAAGGTGGGTCCCAGTATGGCAACACTCAGTCCCTACAGGTAAAAAGAAGAGAGACTTTTTAACTCCTCACTGGAGCCCAAGACACAGACGGTAACAAAACCACAGGTAGGAGATGACGATCTACCATAAGGGCTGAGGACTACATAAGTCAAACCTAAATAAGTCAAACCTAAGAAAACATGATCAGCAGTAGAGCCACACACTCCCCAGTGGCCTCTTAGTTGCAAGCTTTTTTTTTTTTTTTTTTAAGTGTTTGCTTGGTTTTGGAGACTCAAACTTGCTATGTAGCTCAGGATGGCCTCTAACTCATAATCTTCCTGTCTCAGCCTCCCAAAGGTTGGTACTAAGTGTATTCCAACACACACAACTTACAATTTGAGGGTTTTTTTTCATTATTGTTCAAAATTGAACAATACCTCAAAAGACCACTCTGTATTAACAGTTAACATGTAACAAATTAGGGGCTAGGAAGATGGCTCAATCAGTGACCTGCTTGCCGCCCAAACATGGACCTGAGTTTGGAGCCCCAGCACTCACATAAAAAGGACAGTGTCTTGATTAGGGTTTCGATTGCTACAGTGAAACACCATAACCATAAAGCAAGTTAGGGAGGAACACGAGTTTATTTGGCTTACACCTCCACGCTTACGGTCCACCAGTGAAGGAAGTCAGACAGGAACCTGGAGGCAGGAGCTGATATGCAGAGGCCATGAGAGGGTGCTGCTTACTGGCTTGCTCCTCATGGCTCGCTCAGCCTGCTTTCCTATAGAACCAAGGACCACCAGCCCACGAATGGCACCACTCACTAATTCAGAAAATGCCTCACTGCCAGATCTTAAGGAGGAATTTTCTCAATTGAGATTCCCTCCTCTCAGATAACTTTAGCATCCCTCAAGTTCACATAAAACTGGCCAGGACAACTGACAAGTCACTGATAAGCCACAACCTTTCCTATCTTGTTCATCCCCAAGATCCCACATTAACATCAATATCACAATATAAAACATTTTACAAACTTTAAAAGTTTCAGTCTTTATAAATTCAAACACTTTAAAATTCAGTCTCCCTAAAAATCCAGTCTCTTTTAAAACCTGAAATTTCTTTAAAAATTCAGTCTCTCAACTGTAGGCTCAAATATTTATTTATTTATTTATGTTTGTTTGTTTATTTATTTATTTATTTATTTGAAGAGTGAAGAACCAAGGTACAGTCACAATCTGAGAACCCAAAACCAAACTCCAAAAGCGTAAAAATTCAATGTCCAATTCTCTGGGTTTCACACACAATCTTCTGGGCTCTGCCGAAGGGCTTGGGTAATTTCTCTGGCTCCGCCCTCTACAGTTTAGACTGTCTTCAAGGCTCAGGACAGCTCCACTTACACCCACTGATCTTGATGGCCATTCTACGGGACTGGCATCTCCAAAATGTTGGGTTCTGCTGCTGCAACTGGGCCGCACTCTCACTAATAGCTTTCTATTAGTCCTGGGCTTTCTCCATGGACTCCAGCCCTGCCACAGACTGCCAGGCCTCAGCTGCTCTCCGTGACCTTTTCATGCCTTCAAATACAGTACCACCACCTGGTGACTCCTATACTACCAAGGTTGACTGCAAACAGGAGGTACAACCTTGGTCACACCTGGGGCACAGCTTCTGTGTGCTGAACCTGAGGAAACACTACCCAGAATACTTCACCTCAGTGATGTTGCTCTCTTTTGAGACAGGGTCTCTCCGTGTAGCCCTGGCTGTCCTGGACCTCACTATGTAGACCAGGCTGGCCTCCAACTCATAGATCTGCCTGCCCCTGCCTCCCAAGTGCTGGGATTAAAGGTGTGCTGGTCTCTTCTTAACCAGAGCTGACTCTTGAGGCCCAGCTGACCAGCATCTATAACCTCAGCAAAGGAAAGGTTTCACTTTAGTGGTATGGTACCTTGTTAACCCCAGCCAATTCTTCAACAGACTAGAAGCACAGATTCTTAACTCAGAAGGCCTGGTAGAGTCTTTGCTTTCCTCTGAAACTTCGCAAGCCAGGCCTCCACTGTCTGCACTGCTCTCCACATCCTTTCTTTCTTTAGATGTATTTATGTATTATATAGATATGGGTACTTTGTCATGCACGCCTGCACACCAGGAGAGGGCATCAGATCCCATTAAAGACAGGTGTGAGCCACCGTGTGGGTGTAGGAACTGAACTCAGGACCTCTGCAAGAACAGCCAGTGCTCCAAACTGGCTCCAAACTGAGCCGTGTCTCTAGCCCCAGCTCTCAACATTCTTCTAAGCTCCTTCAAGAGTGGGCTGGTGAGCTCTCAGTACTCAGTGACTTTTTAAACCCAAAGTTCCTAAGCCCCTCCACAATCTTCCCAAACAACACGGTTGGGTCTGTCAAAGCAATACTTCCACTATGAGTTCCTGGTGCCAACTTGTTTTAATTAGTTTCAAATGTTAGTGACACACCACAACCAAAAAGCAAGCTGGGATGTGGGGGGGGAGGGAGGGTTTATTTGGCTTATCCTTCCACGTTGTAGTCCATCACTGAAGGAAGTCGGGACAGGAAGTCAAACAGGACAGGAACCTGGAGGCTGGAGCTGACGCAGAGGCCACGGAGGGGTGCTGCTTACTGGCTTGTTCCTCGTGGCTTACTCAGCCTGCTTTCTTATAGAACCCAGGATCAGCAGCCCAGGGACAGCACCACCCACAATGAACTGGGCCCTCCCCCATCAATCACTAATTAAGAAAATGTCCTACAGATGGATCTCATGGAGGCATTGAGGTTCTCTCAGATGACCCTAGCTTGTGTCGACCTGACATAAAACTAGCCAGCACATATAAACACAGAAGCATGCCTAGACTCCCAGCACCTAAGAACCGGGAAGCAGGTCCCTGGGGCTCACTGGCCAGAAAATCTGCTAAACTGCTGAGCTTCTGACTCAACCAGGGGCCCTGTCAAAGAATAAGGCTTTGCCCTCTACACACATCATCTGCACAAAATTTAAAAATGTAACAAACTATTCCCCCAACTTACATTACCAAATATTCTATATGCACAGATAACATAGACATTTACTTGCTTAAAATTTAAATTTACCAAGTGCCAAATTATAATTGTTTTCACATAAGATGCTAATATTTCTGGCATACACGGAATTGTTCCTTTGAACTGTATATGCATATATCTAGTGCTGATGGTAAGTAATTTGAATGTTCTTATATCTATAGTTTCCCTCAAATTAAAAAGCTATTAGGAAACATATGGGCTGTAAGACTTTCTTAGCAAAACAAATAAAACACGGACAGAATGATCTTTAACAATAAGATGTCACACAATGTCCAACCAAGAAGTAAGGACCTCCACTTCGGATGAAGTTCCTAAAAACCTTCAAGGGAAATTTTTGCAAGCCATTTGAAGTTTGAGAACCACTTGATTGTGGGCTGGGGAGACAGCTCGGTGGACGCCTAACATGAAGTCCTTGGGTCAATTGCCAGCATGTCGTTAAAAAAAAAAAACGCACAAAAATAAAAAGCTGATTGTACTGCACTATTCTGCTCCAAACCAAGAGTGTTTCCTGCCCAAGTTGCAGCAATCAAGGGCTACAGACCAGGTGCACCCTGGCCACACCACGTGCGGGCTCTCAGATTCCTTCAAAACCCTGCAGCACCGGGCACACAGCGAGTCTCCCTTCTCTGCTCGCTTGCTTTCCCACTTGCCCATCAAAATAGTTTTAAGAAACTGAGACTCAGGACTCCGACTCCGAGAGACCGGAAGTGGCTCCTCATCAAAGGTTTGCCCCTCAGGGCACCTGAGTCAAAAATTACCAATTTTAGGCCAGTGCTTCACAGCTTTGATCCCAGCACTCAGGAGGCAGGGGCAGGCGTATCTCTATGAAATCCGAGGCCATCCTGATCTGCACAGAGAGTTCCAGGCTAGTCAAGGCTACATAGTGAGACCCTGTCTCAAATCACGACCATCATCATCATCATACGTAGGGAGCCAGAGGCAGGCCAGAGTCTGTGAGTTAGAAGCCAATTTGGTCTACATAGGGAGCTCCAGGCCGGCAGTTGGAGCTCCAGAGGGAAACGCTTTCTTTAAAAGCCGTTTCTGTTCTTGCACTTGAGTGAGGAAAATCATTTAAGGATCTGAAGGCTTGATATAAACAGGCCTGCGAAGCAGGATAAGCGCATGTCCTTGATGCTATCGTTTAACTAGAAGAGCCACTTTCTTCTTTGGGCCTATTTCCCCATCTGCAAAATAACGCAGTTGGCTGGATGGGGTCAGGCCCCCAGGAAAAGGCAATCGCTCAAAACAGCTCTTTCTGGGGTCAATTTGGAGCTTCAGTGAGTGGGTGAAGGGGAGCAGGTAAAGACCCAGGCTCCCCATCCTGCATCTCCCCGTTTCCCCTAGGAAACTAAGTTTGCTCATGTTGGAAAACCTATCATATGCGATTAGTTATGCCCATTTATCCAAACGACAACATTGAGGTCCAAGCGGATTAACCAATACAGCAAGGGGCGCGCATGGCGCCGGGCACTCAGGGAGACCGTGTTCGCTGCGGAACGCCGGTTCCAGCCTTGGGGCCTGGGAGGGTTTCAGCCCCGCTCTCACCAGCCCCAGGAAGGCGGCACACAGCACCGCGGTGGTGAACCAGCGCAGCGCGGTCTGGCCTCGGCTTCCCCGCCGGGACGCCGCGGCTTCGAACTCGTTCTCCGACCCCGGGGCGGCCGGGAGGAGCCGCTGCTGCCCTCCGGCCCCACGGAACTCCAGCTCCAACTCCAGCGCGGCGGCTCCGCGGCCTCCACCCGACGAGCTCAGCGCGCGTGAGCCTCAGGCGTGCGGGCCGGAGCCCGGACCCGCCCTCCCGTCCCGGGCGCCAACCCCGCCGGGACCGGCCCGGGCGAGCCTGACCCGGGCACGGAGCCTTCGCACTGCGCAGGTGCGGGGCCCGGGGCCGGAGGCCGGCCGGCCGGGTCGCAGAGCGCCTGCGCGGAGCACGATCCGCTAACGGGGCCTGTCGTCGTCCGCGAGGATGCTTCAAGCCGGAAGTTGCTGTGGTCACGGTTAGTCGAGCCGGCGTGTTTCGCGGTTGGGCGACGATGGGCAGAGGTAGGAGCCACCACTCAGGCACAAGAGGAACCAAAGGGAAGAAGCGGCAAAACGTAAAGAAAAACACCGTCCCGGAACTGCAAGATGGGGATTTCCGCAGGGTCACCAGGAAACCCGAAAGTCTTGTCTTTACGTGGTTTCCAAAACCTTTGTCTTTGCTCCTTGGACACAGGAGCGTATTCAACGTCAGCCTCTCACTCCACAGATAGTTGTGGACCTCACTTGTGAACTCACACACGAAGTATCTAATTAATTTACACAACATTCAGGATCCCAACGTGCGCCCATCTATAACAACTCTTTAAAGGCCAGAAAACAAACCACCCGCCTTCCTAAATAGTGAAACAATAGCTCAAGAAAGAAGTCTGGGTCAAGATGAGTCGCAAGCTTTTTCACACTCTTTATCTGCAAACAATTCCGTTGTTATGACTGAAGCTGGACTTCAGTTTGTGTTTACCAGATGGCTATGCCAGCTTGAGAAAGAACGACTTTGTTCGTTCTTTGGTTCTTTGACCACAGGGACCATGGCCTCAAATGTTAGCACATTCAAATGTATCTGAAATTCTTTTGTACTTATATTTCAGTCTCACTTCTCCCACTTAGATTCCAAGCTACTACAGAACTCGGTTTTATCTTTACTCGTAAACCAACTTTCCCGATTCATTCATATGGTCATTAACTTCTTCCCTGTTTGTCTCAGAAATTTTTCTTAAATTGGCTTCCAACGCCTCTCCATTCCTACAATGCTTGTCTTTATTCTTTTGCTTAGACTATCTTAAAGGTTTTCTGTTTGGTTTAGAAAAAGTGTGTATTGAAATTTTCAGTGGGCACACACACAAATTTTAAGGGTATTGTAAAAATGAACTACTTTCTACTTCTGTTTTGCTGAATGGATTTGTTTTTTGTTTGTTTTGTTTTGTTTTTTGTTCGTTTTATATTTTTTGAGACAGGGTTTCTCTGTCCTGGACCCAATTTGTAGACCAGGCTGGACTCAAATTCATAGCAATCCACCTGCCGCTGCCTCTCTGAGTGCTGGGATTAAAGGCGTGTGCCACCGTGCCTAGCTAATGGATGTGTTTTCAAACTGCCCTCTAAAAATTTGTATTCACATCCTACATAAGTGTTCCTCTTGGCCTTGGTCAGAGATTTTTCTTTTTGCGGTGGGTAGCAGTCAGTGCAAAAACTCGCAACTGCCGAGAATGAGACTGTTGAGCACTGTTCTAAATGGGATATAGCAACACCCTCCCTTCCGGGCCAAGGCTCAGGGAGCACCAAGGAAGTGAGGTTTCAAATGGTCCATTCAGTAAAGGGTAATGCCTCTGTGTCCTATGAAGTGGCTTACCTGTTTGTGTCTGGGGCAGATGGGACATCGTGAATATACCTTATGAGCCATTGTTGGGGAGGGCTTCCAAAATATACCCCAAGAGGTCATTTTTTTTTTTCCGATGCCCAAATGACTTAAGTTGTGTCTATGTTCCAGAAGAAGCAATTGGGCACTTGGGGGCATTATAGGTGTCCTATTTGGACCCGCCCAGAAGTTACTCTGGGGATTGAGATTCCAACCCTTCTGTTGCCAGGAGGTAGCCCTCTGTTTGCAGCACCATCTGCTGAGCCTGAAAAAGGAGGTTAGAGATAGAGTGGGCACCATGAACAAGACAGTCTCTCAGCACATGCAGTTCCACCAACCATAGTTATTTTTGTTGCTACTTCATAATTGTAATTTTGCTACTATAGTGAATCATAATACATATCTTACATGCAGGATATCTGATATGTGGCCTACAAAGAGGCTGTGACCCACGGGTTGAAAACCACTGTTTTAGAGTATTCTTTTTCTTTCCTTTCCCCTTCCTTCCTTCCTTCCTTCCTTCCTTCCTTCCTTCCTTCCTTCCTTCCTTCCTTCCTTCCTTCTTTTGCTTTCTTTCTTCCTTTCTCTTTCTTCTCCTCTTTCTTTTCATTTTCTGAGACAGGTTTTTCCTGTGTAGCCCTGGCTGTCCTGGAACTCATTCTGTAGGTCAGGCTGATTCAAACTCAAAGATTCGCCTGCCTCTGCCTCCAAGTGCTGGAGCTAAAAGGCATGTGCCACTACTGCCCATCAGGTGTCTTGGGATTTTAATGGTGGGTAATGATTTGGGCAAATAGATAACACCCAGTATTTCAAATGGGCTGGCCAGAGGAAGTTATAACCCTCTGTCTCCACAGGATGCCATAGTTTTGCACCAAATGTATATCACTGTTTATGAATATTAGCTGTTTTGTTTTCCACCAAGGGGCACACTCTGGTTAAAGCTCTGGTTCAGCCCTCTGAGCAAATGTAATGTCAGGCAAATGAGCTCTCTTAATTATGTCAAGAGTAGTGATTATTACATATCCTGCCTGAAAATGTCCTGTTCATCTCATTATAAAAATTGTCAGTAAATAAAACCAAGCAGACTGCAGTTTCTCCTATGTAAAGGAAACAAAAATGGCCATTCTGATGCAACAAGGATACTAAAAAAGGTACTGCAAAATCTGTCACTGAAAAATAGGCTGTAGTTAGAGTAATTCAAGATAACCAGGTGTGGGGTTTAGGCACAGAAATCTACCTGCCTCTGCCTCTGGATTACAAGGGATGACTATCCTGTTTATGGCCTGGAGATTTTGCACAAATGTTAAAAGTTATTTGTATAAAATTGTACTTACTTCTCAGTTTCTCTCTTAACCCAGCTATTACCCAAATAATTGAGATTCTATTATATTGTTTATCAAGCTTTACAGCACAATACTGAGCAGTTATTACTCTATTCTTAACCCTCTCTGTAAATTCTAGAGATACTTGCACATGATGGCTTTTTCTGCTCAGGGCGTCTCCTGGACCTCTTGCTTGTGGCTGAATCCTCTACCACCTCCTCTAACTCCTTCTCCCCTGGAGGGTAGGAAGCCCAACCCTATTCTCTCTCCTACTCAGCAACTAGCTGTAAGCTGCTTTATTGGCATATCAGGAGACAATTGGGAAGCAGTGTTTACACATTGAGACTGGAGAGTTTCAGGACAAGGATTACAACCAGATTGGGGGGGGGGTCATAAATCAGCATTTGAATTACACAATAACCTTATGCCTACACACAAATCTCTCTTCTCTTCTATTTTGCTTCTTTTAGGTAATATTGGGCTGATGAGAGGGCTTCTTGCCTCAAAGGGTGTTTATTTTATTTTTTATATTAGGCAAGGGTTTGTTTCCATCTATTATCTCAATTGGGGCAGCTAATCGTATTCATCCTATATCTGTTTTGGTTTGTTTGATTTTTGTTTCTTTTTGTTTTTGTACCAAATCTCCTGGAACTTGTAGAAGGAGGCTGTCAGATTTCTCCTGTGGGGTCTTGTTTGACACCATCACAAGTGGCATGGAGAACATTTTGGGACTGGGCCTCTCAGTGTCCCTAGATTAGAGGGGAGGGAGGGGTGAGGCAGGCGGTGGTCAAAGAAGTCTTGTAGCTCTGACTGGCCAAGTGCTTCTTTATTAGTGCAGGCTTCATAAAACACAGACTAATGATTATCCAGGAAGTACAGATTATGTCTTTGCTTTTCATTACATGTTCAGGGTTACAAGTTGAGTTACAATTAGAAAATACGAACAGAAAAAGATTTTATCAGCCCTATAACTCCAATTTCAAGAATCTAAAGAACGTCCCTTCCAAAGCAAACACATTTATTATATGACAGCCTGCTTCTAGTTTGGCAGTGTTTGTAATTTGAAAGCACTCCAGACAAACAGAAAATATCTGAAACAGCCTTTTTATGAATAGCAAATACTAACACCTAACTTCTCTTACTATATATTTTATCATCTGCACTATAAAGTAGGAAAAGTTAATTTTACTCAGTGTTATTTACCGAGTTCTATTCCTCCAGGAATGTACCCTGTGCGATCCCCACTATCTTTAAATTTTGTTTTCAGAGAGCTCTAAGCCTAGAATAAAAAGAGACCTTGGATCTGTAACCTGTTCTCCTGGCCAGAGTTTGTCAATTGTCTCTATTTACCCTGCACCAATTGTATTGTTTGAGTTTGCTCTGGGAAGATGCCCCAAGAAGATTTCTAGTAATGGCCTCATTTAGCTGTGTACTCGTTTGTGTTTAACGACCTCTAGGGTATAAGGAAGACTTCCAAATAGTGACCAGATAAAGTTAATGTTAGGATTTTCCTAAAAAGACGCAGACATAATTTTTTTGAGAAGATAAAAAATGAATCATAATGCAGAAAATCCTCAAGATTGCAACACACAGAGACCAAAATCCAAAAGTTGGAGATATAATGACAGTATTGCAGCAATCCACTCAGCTTTGCTGGAGCTGTGTCAGGCAGCTGTGCTGGCTTCATGACTCGTCATTTTGAGAGGTGGATGTGTGAGCATTCTGTTTCCAAAGAGTCACCTCCAAATAAATGAACAGGGTCATAATTTACCAGTAGAAAAATGTGATGCCCTGGCTTCTCCCAATTTAAATCTTATAGGTGCGGTGGTTTGAAAGAAAATGGCCCCATAGGCACACAGGGGGTGGCACTATTTGAAAGGATTAGGATGTGTGGCCTTGTTGGAGAAAGTGTCACTGGAGGTGGGCTATGAAGTTTCAGATGCTCAAGCCAGGCCTAGTGTGTGTCTCTCCCTTCCTCTGCCTGCCGATCTGGATGTAGAACTCTCAGCTTCTCTAGCACCATGTCTGCCCTCATGC